AGCCCTCGTGGTCCTCAGCAAGGTCAATTATGTGATGGATTTATATTAAAACAACAACAAAAAGAGCTCACTTGCCTTTTGGCCCAACAGATTAGCAATATTTAGAACTTTCTGTTAGGAGGAGCAATTGATGCTTCTGTAGTTCTTTGATTCTCTTCCTTTTAGTTTTATTTATTTGTGGCAGAGAAAGCTGCTGCTTCTGTGAATCTTGTGCGCAGGCAGCCTCTCCCCATCTTCGGGGAAGGGATTCTCAGCTCCCTTTTCCTTGCTGTCTGCTGGCTTTCTCTTCTCTCACGCTTGTGTGCTGGTTTTCTTTGGTCTTGCGAGCATTACCAGTGAATCCACTCAGTCCACATGCCTTAACTGACTCAAGATTTGCCTTTCATGGTAACTTCTAGAAACTTTTTAAGTGCAGAGAGAGAGAGAAAAAGAGTGCAGTTTATTGCATGTAATATGATGTTACTGTAGGCTCTTGGCCAAAGAGCTGGTCTTTTCAATTTCTGTCTGTCTGGCAGTCAAGTCTCTATTGGATGAAATGTTCTGGGTTGTTGTTTCAATGAAAAACTAGTTTTCCTTCCCAAGAAAATACAATTTTCCCCTCAGTCAGCCTGCTGAAATTCTTCACTCTTGGGTTTCACAGCAGCTTGCAAGGAGAGAAGGGACGTGAAGGCAAGCTGGAGAGAGGGCAGCAGCAGTCCTTCATGGCAGCCTTCCATCACGGCAGGTTAGGTCAGGTGTGAAACTGCAGCTCTAGGATGCAGTGCTGTAGCTGCCTAACCTGCTCTGTGTGCAGGTTCCAGGAGCTTTGCCCTCCTAATATTCAATATGAAGACACATTCCCTTTCCCCTTCCTTGGGAAGGCCCTGGTGAAAAATAATCTCTGAGTTTAGTTTTCATTTGCATCAGTTCAGGAGCAGCTTCCTGAGCTGGTGAGCCCACGAGTGCTAAGGCCAAGTAGGTGCAGTAGGACAGCTTGGATTGGTGTTAGTATGAGATGTCCAGGAAATACAGTTGGAAATTTTCATTTTAGAGGGTATTTTATATGTTTAGAGTATCAATAAATGTTACATGTTAGAGTTTTGTCAAATTGGATTTCTTTGCACATCTAACTGTGCATGGGAGTCTTAGCTACTTCAGTTTGCACTACTTCATTTAAGTACCACAGATAGGATATTTTGTACTGTAAAAGCAGCAGCTTTTTAGCTTCTTCAATGAATGCATGAAAGTGGTAGTGAGAGCAGCCATACTGTGCTTCTGTGCTCTGTAAATACGTGTGTGCGCAAAATATTAAAAACATTTCCGAATATAAACATTGACTTAGTTCACAAGCTTTTTGTTATGGAGACTTGGCAATCTAACAACTTAGGCTTCTGGGTGTTGCTGTAAAGCATATCTGCATAGTGATTTAAATATACTTGACTTTGAATTAGAACTTTCTGTTCTTATATAGTTATTGCTTTTCAGAGAAGAACCATATTCTAAGTAAAGGTAAAGAAAAATAGGGAACTTACCTCCTTCCTGTAGCATGGCAAATAATGTGTGTTCACGTGTTTAATAGCATGTTGTGTGGTTAACGTCCTGGCAGCAGTCTCCAAGGAAAAATTAGAGTAGATTCACAGTGCCAACAGTTTAGTCGTGTTCATTGTAGCTTTGTCTAGTGTGTCTCCTGGATCCTAGTACTGGGGATTTTTAATGATCTCTTTTTTTAAAAAAGACAGACATGTAATGAACATCTCAACATTTTTCCCCTTAACTCTGCTGTTTTTGAAAGAATGGATTGTCCAAAGCCTGTTACAATATCCGTATATCTGTTGAATTAAAAATTCCTGAGTCTTCTGTATCTTTTTTTTTTTTTTTTTTTTCCTTCTACAGATTAATCGTGCCCCAAGCTTTGGGACTGATCAAAAAATAGACTATGATGTAAAGAAAGGTGTTCTGCTAAATGCATTAAAACTTCTCAACATACGGTAAACTACTTCTCTGACCTTCCCTCTGGTTCTCTTTCTGTTGGCATGAATGCAGGAGGAGGGTTCGTTATTTGAATTGGAGTAGCAGAAGTGATGCAGAATGTTATTGTTAGTTTTGCTATTGACATTGTCCCAAATGTAATTTTACTACTTGTTCATGTGCCTGCCAAATATGAAGTGATAAAAATCCCTTTCATATGTGCTTTAATAACTTTTCAAATGGATCTTGAAGTAGGGATATGAGTGATGGAAAAGGCATGTGGCCACATACTTTGGCAGTAGTAGCACACAGTCAAAAGCAATGGACCTTTATTGCTAACGTAGATTTGGAGTATGTTGGAGAAAATGTTGGAGAATATAGTTTCAGTCATATTTGTGCATTAAATTATAGAGTCGTTATAGTACACCTTAAAATGTAAAGATATTGCAGCCATATAAGTTGATGTTAAAATAGATTTTCTTAATGAGTGTTTGAATTTTAATTTATATTTCATAAACCACGTATAACTGATAGCCTTGCACTTCACGGAAACCATGTGTATTTTCCTCAGTTGTGGCAGTTTAATATGCATGATAATAGAGTAAATGTTGAGTTCTGACACTTGACTCCTGAACTGCTGTGCTTGGAGTTCCATGGAAATGAATGTTAGGTGTATTTTGCAATATTATAAACATTGCATTAATAATTATAAAGGGTCTTGAACTGTCACATTCTGCTGTGTGTAGAAGCTTTTTGTAATTCTAGTTAAAAAATACCTCTCTTGGGATTGTGTTACCTCTTAATATCATCTGTGTTTCAGGACCAGTGATAAAAGGAGAAATTTAGCCCAGCAGAAAGCTGAAGCTCAAAAAAGGCTGTATGGTCAAGGCTCTATGAAAAGACTGTTGCCAGGTTCCTCGGACTGGGAAAAGCAGCGCCACACACTAGAGAGGAGAAAGGAAGAACTGGTATAAAGGAAACTTACTGTACTGTTTATTTCTTGCTTGTGGTTTCTGCTGTTCGTTTTAATTATCTCACTTTCTTGATTTTTAGAAAGAAAGACTTGCACAAGTACGTAAACAGATTTCCAAAGAGGAGCATGAGAATAGGCACATGGGGAACTACAGGTAATTGTATTGCTTTATAGCAGTAGTAGGCAGCGTTCGTGGCTTTCATAGGAATAATGGAAGCAAGTATTTGTGGGTAGGTGGTAATTCTCTGCCAGAAACGTGCAAGTTTATAGTAAATATAAGTATATACACCAGCTAGTAATGTATTTTTTTTTCCTCTTTCAAAATTTCTCTATGCACTTAGGAATCTAGATGGCATTAGTCACTCTAGTGTTTGTGCAGCACACTTGAAAGATGGGATTTTTCCCAATCAGCATACCCAGAACTCTCACTATGAACCAGACTTATACTCAGTTTTGATGTTCCTTTTCCACAGGGGGACCAATTTGGGGTGGGAGTATTTGGGATTGTGAGATCTGAATGTTAAGTTTAATATTGACTAAAAGTTAGAAAATCTTTTGGCTCTTCCATCGCTTTGAAAGTGTGACATTTGAAATACCTTATTTGTATTGCTGCACTTTCATTTTGGACCTTAGTAGGCTTAAACCTAAGCATCTTCAGATTCTGTCTTAACATACATTCAGAAGTCAACTTTAAGTCATTTTATTGTTGTTATTCATCTCTGCTTTTTTGAACAGATGTTCTAAACTTCCCAATAAAGTTCTCAAAAAGCATTTCATGGAAACATTTATCAGTTTCTGAGGAAAAAAAATCATTTTTGATGAATTAACACTTTACTCACAAACATTGCTTCTTTGTAACATTCCCAGTTTTAATTATATCCTTTTTTTGACACGTGGAGTTGAATGAGTACATAAAAAAGCCAACACAATGGAGCAGATGTTTTCATATTACTTAGTAAGAAGGAGAAATGTCCTGATGTTTTAATGCAGTTTGCTTTTTCAGTTATGTTCAAATTTAACTTATTAACTGATTTCATTTGGAAGAGCTAATTCTGATCCATGTTGAAAATGAGCCAAAGTCCTCTTTATTAAGATTTTAGATAAATATAAATCAAGAGAAGTAAAAAACTTTTTTTTTCTCAATTTTTTTTTTAAAGAAGAGGAGAGAACTTTGTTAATGTTCACAAAAAGTGAATAAAAACATACAAGCCACATCATGACAGTCAAGATAAAAAATAGTTCCTAGACCTTGCATGGGGCAGACAGAATTGACTTATGGATTACTCCTTAAAATAAGTGAGGATTAATTCCTTCCATCATCCCCATTTTGGCCATGCTTTTGGCATTCATGACAAATGGAGGGGTTTTCTTCAAAATCTATTGTTCTTTGATGAGCATGAATAAATCCAAGTCCTGTTTCTCAGATTGTCATAATCTCCTTACCTGCAGTTTTAGAGACTGATGACATAGATGCTGTAATGGAAAATCGGAGTCACCCTGTACATCCACATGTTTTTTAAAAAAATAAATATTCTGTCCGTTATATTAGGACATTTAGCATTCAAGTGCAGTGCATATTCAGTCTTTAATTTATGTCCATTAAATCAACTGCTCAAATTTTTGTGTCCTTTTATTACTAAAACAAGTTGTTTTGTGCTAATGAATATCAAACACACTCTTTTGCTAATATTTTATGCATCATTCAGACCTGCTGTGGAAATTTCAGAGTGTTGCAAAATTCAATTTTGATATTTCTTTGGAATAATTTGCATTGTGTTTTCCTTCATTTTGGAATGGACATTTGCTGGTTTAAATATGTGTTTAAAATTTGATGAATGAGCATTGTTCATCATCAGAGAATGTGTTTTATAGTAATTAGAGATAAGATAAATATGTATCGTGGAAAAGTCTGTAATGCGTCATGGAAAACTCTGTAAATTAACTGCAGTGCTTTTGTGTTACCAGTGTGGTGAGTAGCTCAGCTTCTCTGTTTTACTTAACCTCAATTTAATTTGTCTTCATTTGTAGGCGAATTTATCCTCCTGATGATAAGACTTTACTTGAAAAGTATGAGAGTTTGTTAGCCACTGCTTTCCAGACATTCCTTGCTGGGAGAGCAGCTTCACTTCAGCGGGAAATGAATAACCCTTTAAAAAGAATGAAGGTACTAAGTGTAGAAGTGTTGGCTTCGGAGTTACTTATCTTGGAATTCTAGCATGGCCTTGTGGATTAGTTTCACTCTAATCATGTGTGATGGCTAATAAATATAATTTCCATCATTTTATTACTATCCTTTGTGCAGGTTGTGGGCCAGGTTTTGAATTTTTGTGTAACTAGAGTGGATCCAGGGTGGAGGCAGGCTAGATGCCTTTAAACTTCTTTACCATATTCCTGGTCCTGAGCCTTATCCCTGGGCAAACGCAAAGTTGTCGGAAACTGCTTATGAGTTGGTAATTGCTTCCTCCTTTGCCCAGTCATGCCCCCCAGTTATTTATCCACTGTATGGTTTGAAATAAGAGGTGTCATAAAACCATCTTCATGAAAGGCATCTGAAAATTCTGCTTGATTGCCTACTTAAGTTGTCAAAGATAAACAATAGGAAAAAGAGCTGTATGCAAAATAACCAACTAATGAGATTTAATTTAAAATCTGTGAAATTATTTTCCATATTTCTACTTGGCATCATCAGCATTTTTACAGGAATCTTTGTTTGGCCCTTTGTTCAGATTTTTATCTTTAGTAAATCTTGAGGCTTCAATTAATCTTTCAATGTCATATTGATTGCGAAAAGATGCATGTATCAGAGGAAATACTTCTACATCCTCCTCTAGAGGTACTGGTAATCTTATTTCAGGAATTAATAATTGGAATTATTTCCAGTTCTTACAAATTGCCACTTGACCTTTCGAATTAATCATTGTGACATTTGCATTTCTAGGAAGAGGATATTTTGGATCTTCTGGAGCAGTGTGAAATAGATGATGAAAAACTAATGGGAAAACCCATGAGACAGCGAGGACCTAAGGTATTTGACTGCTTTAAATACCCAATATTTATGCTGCTGTATGAAGCGGTATGGTCTTCATCACTCTAAGTGGGGAGTTTAGTTGTAAATTTTCCTAGTAAATCCTAGTAAATCTAGTAAATCCTAGTAAATTTTCATTGGAAATGTTTACTAATCCTTATACAGCTTACCGGAAAGGTCTAATCAGTATGTTCCCGTGCTACACTGCACTCTGTGATGAGGATAGTTGTTTTTGAGAAAACAGTAAGTGTAGGGGAACCTTAATTTGTCCTTTTGGCAGGCAGATAGACCTAGAAATATTCTGTGTAATCTGAACATTTGCAGGAGCCTCCACAGTGGAATATACTTTATCTGTTCCTTAAATGGTTTGCCAGTTTGGGCTTCATAAACAGTGACAGTATCCTCACTGTTCTGTTAGTTTTAGAAATCTCTTTTCCTTCTTTGGCTAAAATACAGGTTTTTGTTCAGTTCAGATGTTCAGTACTAAAGTACATCTTGCAGGAACAGTTCCTTCTGGGGCTTTGCTCTACTGCCCTTCACAATAAGACGTGATGTTGCATTACACTGAAATAACAGAACAGCTTAAATACACCTCGAGAGTTCTTCCATTCCACTCTGACCTAAAGTATATTCAAAATTACAATACTAGTTTTTTGTAATTTTTAATTACATCTGGTTGAGAAATGGAACAATGAGGCTCTTGCCATAGGCTCTTATAGATGAGAGTTACTAGAAAGGAAATGTAGGAAAAAAATGACTGCACAAAACTTCTTAGGGTAATAGATATAATGGTGGATGTTGTTCACACTTGCATTTTTCTTGTATAGCTGAATGTTGATAAAAGACAATTTTTCAGATGTACTTTATGTTCTTGCATCAGTTTCTGTTTCCTGCTTTTTGCTTTTTATCTCTCAGTGCCCTTGGTGATAGCACAGGATTAATCACTTGATGGCACTGAATCCCCTGTGCATAGGGAACACCAAAGACGCCTTGGATAGATTGCTATATTTTCCTAGTTTTTGCTGTCCACATGATGTGAATTAATGGCACCCTTTTAGCAGTGTACCAGTGTGTTTGCCAGTGTCTTCACACTCCTCACTGTTAAACTGTAGCTTTGGCTATAACTGAAACTATAGCTTCAAGCTATACTTGAAATAAAATCACAATAATTTTTCCTCATTATATAAAGTACTTTGTCAGTTAATGTGAGAAAGATTAGGGTTATTATGTCATGGGTTTAATAAACATTTGTTGGAAAATTAAGCACAAACTTCTAATTTTATTTTGGAGGTCTTAAATCTGTATCAGTGAGCTTCCGTCTACCAGGAACCTAGTCTGACAATAGTTTTCTTGGGGATTATGAATGTTTTTTTTTTTCTTTTTCTTTTGTCTTTAGCCATTATTTTCTATGCCAGAAAGTGCACAGACCTTAAGAAAACTTAGGAACTACAATAGTGACAGTAGCTGTGATAGCAGTAGCGATGTGTCAGAATCAGAAGAAGAAACTGAAAAGGAGGATCACAATGAAAAAAAAGAGAAAAAAATATCATATGATCTTGAAGAAAATAAACATAAAACTTTAGAACGATCAGGTGAGTTAAATTTTAATATTTCCAATTAAGTGAGGTATGTAATGGATTATATAAAATACTTCAACACATGAGAATGTAGCCACTTACAATGCTTTTGAACTCAGGGTTAAACAGTGGCTTGTTCTATCTTCTTTCAAATCTTTTCTAAATTATTGAAAATTTATTTTTTAAAAACAAAGATGGAAAAAATGTGTGTTGAAAGAATAATAAATAGTTGCATTATCCATTTAATTTGTCTGCAGGTAGAGTGACCTGGAAACCTTCAGTTAAAAATGTAAAAGCTCCATCCCATTCATCCCCCACGTCATCCGCAGGTCCCATAAGGCGCTCTGTAAGTTGTCCTCGTTCCATATCAATATTGACTACGCAGTCACAAGCAGCCGAGCAGCGTCCCCTTTCTGCCAAAGCATCTCTGCAACTCCAGCGTGCATCCTCTGTGAACAGGTCCCATTCTCTAAACCGCAGCCCGTGTTCGGCCAGAGCATCTCAGACATCCAGTTTGGCAACTATGAACTCTTCTGCGGTGAGTTAACATAGCAGTTGCGTTCAAAATGTGTTAGATTTCTCTAAAACTAGATACATACATCACCAACTTTTACAATTTTAGAAATTCTAATGCACTATAGTCAATTCTATTTTGACAGATATTCAAGACTGTAAGATCTCCAGACCTTTACACTAAACACTTACCGCTAGCTGTGATCTTTTCTGGTGCAGCCATACAGATGCCACATCTTATGAAAATGGAAATCTTAGCCAGATTTTTTTGTGAGTGAAAAAACTGATCTCCTAAATAGTTTCTTGAAGGTAGAGAGTGTTTTTTACCCATCTAAAAAAGTTCTGAAATTAAGGCACTAACAAAGATGCATCAATACTTCAAAATCAGTATATTCTCCTTGGGTAAATAATGTGCACTAGAATAAAGTACTTCCTGCCATTAATAAGACTTTGTCTGGGTTTTCATTGCAGAACAAGGTGTAATTAATTTTCATATTAGAGCATCTATTTCAAATAAATTGTACCACTGCAAGAGGACTACAATTCTGAACAGTTAACGAGAGTTTAGAAAGTACAGATGTTGCCTTATCTTCCTTAGGATTTGTTACTTTAGTAAATAACAGTAAGTAAAAGTCTGAGAAGACTTTTTTTTTAACCTTCGCTTTAAAAAAAACAAGAAAACAAAACAAAACAAAACAAAAAGAAAAACCTGCTTACAAAATTTCTTCTATTTTGAAGTTTGTCCCTGGAGTATGCAAGCATAAAGATTCAAGTAGCCTCATTACAGAATTAATAGAATAAGTAGATGAGATTAAACTGTTTGGAACTTGAGCTGTTGGTTATAATTTCCTTGTGTGTTTCTGAACCATTCAGAAAACCTGTGTTTCTGAGTGTCATTCTCTTTGGTATCTTACCAACCAAGCCAGGTCTCCTGTCTTTGTGTGGGTTCTACGGCGGAGCGTGTACCCGCTCAGGCAGTGTTTGCTGAGAGCTAGTGATGGTGTGTTCATGCTTTGCATTACATCCTGCAAGTAATTCCTCTGGCAATGGAGGCACGGGGCAAGGGCAAAGGAATTAGCACTCTTGGCCCACATTTGCGCTTTTTCTGTGTTACAGTGAGGTTTGAGTATGAGAAACCCCTTTGTGATACTAATTAACTTGCTTCTTAGTATTTACTAACTACAATCATCATTTTATCTAGTAGGAAGCTCATTGTCTCTTTTGCCTGTAAGGCCTTGTCTAGATGATGAAAAAGGATCCTTTTAAAATTGTGTCAGCTCACAGCCTATGAAATACTCCTTAACGTGGTTTTCCATCTTTAAAGTCAGCTAATAGGATTGGAAAAATATTGTCTTCATCACAGAGTGCTAAAGGTATTTTTTATCACATTAGCTATCTCAAGATTAAAAAGTACTCTTTTATTATCAAAATGTACTCTGAGAGTTTAATGAGGCAAGGCTAATATAGATTTTTCTATTCACATTAATTCTATATCAAATACATATTACTGAAAGATTACAACTAGTCTCTCACAATATGACATTAAAAATGGACTACTCACTGAAATGAACATTAGTAAGAAACCATACTTACTTTTTTAGTGAGTATGCTTCATCACAGAAGTGATCTTGATATACAGAACAATTATGTTGGGTGATAGTAGGTCACGTTTCTTAAACGTGAGTAAAACTACTTGCAGATTAGATAAAAACCAGCCCATAACTTAGCACCATATTGTGAATGGAAATGTGTTCGTAATTACTTTTGTGCCCCAGAATACTACATATTACTGATAAAATAAAATTGCTAAAGTATAACTTTGACTATACTCAGAAGAAATTATATGTACATGATAAAGTATTAGTGTATCAATACTTTTGGCAAAGACAAAGCAGCTAGTTGTCATTTTTGAGGTTAGTAACAGTCAAATGCACTATATCCACGGTGTGGATAGCTAAGTGTTGAAGTACTGTTCACAATTGGAAGCCATTATTATGGCTGTAATAAGCAAGAATGTATTTAGAGTTTGTAGCAGTGCAGAACTGAAACGAAGTAAATTATGGCTACTAATTTCTCTTCATTATATTGAGTTTAAATTCAAAATGTGTATGTTAAATTTCAACCTTATTGTAAATGTCAGGCATCATAAATATCTAGTTCATTTTCAAAAAAGCTTATTTTCAAACTCCATCCTCCTTACATTTCTTGAAAACCATAAGCAGTTACGAAAGAGTATGTGAAATGTAGGAGTGCATCATAAGCATGTTAGATAATGATGGCTATACCTATTAAAAATATTTTATGTCACCCTATTTAGAAAAAATATATTTTTATTAAGGGAACATCTTTGCATTGATGATGTAATAACACAGTTGAAATCTTACCTTTGCTTCATATTTCTAGACTGAGTCTTTGCTGCACCAGAAAACAAAAGAGCAAGAAGATGCTTTGACAAAAGAAGCTCTTCTCATTCTCAATGACATGAGAATGAAGTTCCCAGGAAAAACAGATGAAGAGGCAGAATTAATTATAGAAGATGTAAGTATCTATCAATAAGAAAGAATTACATGCAGGTTAGACACTTACTATTTAAGCTGTTGAAATGTAGGAAAGTAGAATGTTCACTTTGATTTGTAAGTTCCTGCATCTTTTAACTTCCATAATTCAGGATAATGCAAAAGACTTCAAAACCTTGGAGCACTGCATACTTTCTGATTTAAAGGAGCAATGGTGAAAACATTCTTCCATCTTCATAAAATACATGAGAAACAATCAGGAAGGTTAGGAAATTTCAGTCTTGTTGTGAGGAAAATTCAAACTTCTAAGTAAGCTAAGTATGTAAATCTCTTTTAAATATGTAACTGCTAAAAAAGTAACATCTGCTTGGAGGAAAAAAAGGAGTTCTTAGACTGGTGGAACAAACCATTTAAAGGAACTTGTGTGTTGTAAGCACGTGGTGTGCTGAACAATTGGCTTGAGCAGAGGCAAAATGGAAGGAATTCTGCACTCATTGCCATGAGGACATTATCTATTCAACCTTTAACTGAGGAGATTATCCAATTGGAAATGTCTGTTGCCCCGTGGCTTTCAAAGTTTTAGAAACATGCTGATTGTGTCTCTAGCAATCTGCTATCTGTGGAGAACTGCCTTGTACTGAGGGTTCATTTCAGTGATTCTAGAAGACAGCATCACAACTAGCATGCTTATTTTCTCATCTTAGAAGTGGAATAAAATGCCCCATTAGATTTTCCCCTTCAGAAATGTGTGTGCATATGTGTGCATGTGTGGGTAAGCTTGTGTCCATATACATGTGTGTATATGTAGGGGTCTGTGTGTGTGTGTGTGTGTATATATATATATATATATATGTATGTATGTATGTGCATGTGCTCCATCTAGTGGTGCATTTAATACAGCATTAGCATGATTATAAATGCTCTTCTGTATTGCAAAACTCAATTTCTGTTAGAAAGTAGTATTTCATCATGAAAGGAAATAAGAAATGGTATATTAGTTGTCAGTAAGGAAGAACTTCCAATAAGTACTGATTGAGGACAGAATAGAAAGATAAAATAAAAACAGTTATTATTGAATTATTATTATTGTTAGTGCATTATTGAACTCTGCTGTTTCTCAATTGTGGAATCTTAACTGTGTCAGTTTGTAGTGTACAGCTGTCAGAATCAGGTGGAAAGGAAGGTAGGCTTAGACCGAAAGATCATGTACATATTTGTAAATGCCTCTCCCACATAAACTTTCTAATATTTTTCTATTCCTTTTTGAGAATGAGCTTTTTTTGTAGAGGTCTGGTTTGCTTTTAGATACTCAGTGTTTGATATTAAGAATGTCTGTGATTGAACTACCAGACTTCTATTTTTTTTTTATGTACTTATGTTATCTTATGTTTTGCAATTACTACAGATTATGGATAATTGGAAGCACCATAAAACAAAAGTGGCATCATATTGGTTGGTAAAACTGGATTCAGTAAAGCAACGAAAAGTAAGTGGCGTGCTGCTTCATTCGAAGATAACCTTAAGCAGATGTGTGGCATCGTGTTTGGTAGCTTCTGGGTAGCACTGACTTGCAATGCTAGAATACTGGCTGGTGCTACTAACATACCTATGAGTTGATTCTGTTGAAAGAATGCAAGAATTGATGTTCCATAGTTAGAGAAGCATAATTATGCTGGAATAAAATTTCAAAAATAATTTTTTGATAATTAGGCTGCCAAAAGAAAACCAGATTAGGGATATTAAAACTCCATTGCAGTTAGTAATACTGCACTTGCTTATTTGAATCCTATTTGACCTACAGTATTGCAACAGATCATGCTGAATAGAAAAAATAGACCTACCAAGCAAAGCTTATTAACATCCTTTTACTGAATGGTTTGGTCTTACAAAGGACTAATTAGATTTGTTACCATGCTGCCTTCAGTTCACCTCATACCTAAGACCTACTGTGGTGCAAAGCATCTGAAAAGTTTTTAATCTGTCTAAAAACTGACCTACTGTATTAGGTTAGTCATCTGTATGTCATATAGTATATCATGTCAATCAAAATAATCTTTCCTATGTAACATCTATTTTCATTAATGTGGCTGATATTTTATTTGTGATTTCTCTTAATACTTTGGTGGCCTGAAAGTAGTATTGGGTGTCTTTTTCTACCTCAACCACTGACTCATTAGATGGATGAGGCACTGTTTCTGTTTGAGGCACTTAATCTCTGCATGTCTCAGTTTTCACAGTCTAGTTTTCCAGACCATAAAAGAAAGCAACATAATCAAAATGCTGCATACCCATAAATATTTTAATTTGAAAAGGTTGGTAGATTGTTACAGAAGATTGGCCTTCCTTAGCTTCTGCTGCTGGAAATTCATGCTTTTAGCTGATTGCTTTCATTTTACCTATGTCTGTCTGTGTATGTTTTTGTTTTTTCTTTGCAATCTAGTCAGAATTTTCTCCTGTAAACGCTGTTTTAGAAAGTGTACACTGTCCTGTGGTTCTGTCCTTCCTTTAATGACAGTTGTGCCGAACCAAGGGCACATTCCCTAATGAGAAGATACATGATGATGCGGGCTGATACACTAGGTCATTATTAACAACAACTGTAAAATAGAAATGTAGATTTCTTTCTTTGTGAGGACACCTCTTACATTAGCAGGTCAACACTTCCTGAAACGCTAATGGGTCCTTCATCTTCAGTCTTTGGTTTACTGGAAATGATTTTTTTTTCCTCCTCCTTACTGCTTTTAAACTCAATCCCTTCAAGCAATCAGATAGTTACGCTTAGAAAAGTAGTTTGTACAAATGGATTAACTTTGACAATGACATTGCAGCTGAGGACTGTCAGATGCGTAAGCTTCTGTGGATCTGAAAGAAGGGTGTTTAATATTCTAGTGGGGTGAGGTGGGGTAAAGTAGAAGACAGTTCAAGGTGCAGAGTATTTTTGCAAATAAAGACTCTATCCCAAAGGTGTCTTCAACTTTGTGAAATACAAAACAGAAATTCAGTCCTCCTCACTATACTTTAAAATAACTAGAAAGTACTAAAATACAGGAAGAAAACCTAGGCAATGTACTGGGCAGTGTACATGTCTTCACAGTGTTCATCCCTGACATAAATTTCCGAAGAATTATTCAACAAGAAAAACTAAACTCTTGATGTAAACTCTTGAAAAACTCTTGATTGATAATGTCTATTATTACAGCATTGCAGCAGAGGTGCAAGAGGCATTTAGGAACCAGTTAAGAATAAACTAATGAAATCTATATGTGATTAAATAAGATTTAGACTAAATCTCCTTCACATTTTGAGCCAAACATTTAACTGTAAGAATAAGTTAGTTCCGCACTTGTGAAAATTGCCTGGGCAAGTATTGGATCTTCTGAATTCTTGAATTTACAACATCTTATACCAAATAAATGAATATTTCATCCATTCACCAGCCACCTGGATCTGATGACAGTGTCTTTTGAAGATCTATTTTGCTAAGGAGGCAACAAAGAAGTCTCCTTTATAGGAAACAGTGTTGATTAACTGGCATTTTGTTAATGGAAACCATAGAATTAACCATGAATCATAGGATTGTTTTAGGATGGAAATTACTTTGTCCAGGGTGCCAGTGAAAGGCCTAAATACTGCCCTAGAGAACTGAGAGCTGACATCTTATGCCAATTACATTGCCAGTTCTGTGTTTTATAGATAATGAGTTTAAACTTTTGTTTGGAGAAATTCAGCATTTACCACAGCAATGACAACTTAAGTATATGCAAAAAAAGAAAGTGTCCGCAGCGAAGTAGTGAAGTAAAAAAAGAAAAAAGAAAAAAAAAAAAAAAAAAAGAGAGAGAGAGAAAGGCTTGAAAGGCTTGGGCTTGGGTTGCAAATAAGTTTCGTAAGTGGAAAAAATATTTTAAAAGTTCAGTATCTTAACACTGCACAGTTGACGTTCATGAGATGTAAGGCATTACTGTAGGGGGAGGTTTGGAGGATCAGGTCACAGGCATAAAGTTTTTTTTTATTGGTCATACTTGTCTATATAAAATGAAAACACAAATGTGTATGTGCATATATGACATATTTGGCGTATAAGTATTTGCATGCAAGAGGCACATATATATTTATTATATATATATATAAGTATATAAAAATAAATACATATTTATTATTTATATGTGTGTCTTTTTATATTGCATGCATATACTTACTGTTGTCTCTCAGGTATATGCAATGTGTAGACGGTGTGAAGATTTTTGATTTAGGATGCTTAAATCCGGCAGTGTGAACTGCACCTTGTGCCCCCATGGCAGTTGGGCGGGATGTGGCGGGTGCAGCCAGGAGGAGCCGGCCCGGCTCGGGGCTGCCCCTTGGGGCGCTGCTGAACGCAGCCTGCAGTCGCGCCCTGCCCGTGCCCACCTCTTCACCTGCTTGCGCTTAAATGTCGCTTGCGTATAATAAATCTGCTGTGTTTCTACGAACGTTGCTATTCCGACTATCCTGTTGCCTTTTAAAATTATTTTTATTTCACTGTATCCTTTTCTTGAAGAAAGAGAAACCAAAAGAGTCTGATCTAGGGTAACACTGAGCTCAGCAGACGTTAAAGGAAGAGTGGCTTAAAGCTTTTCAGACCATTTTAGTTCTCTGTAAAATAGATAGTGTTTTAAAGGGAGGGCAAAAAGAAGACATGATCTTAAAGTATATAATATTTGGGTTCGTAATTATGTTGCTTGTAGTGTTATCAATATTGTTTCTTTTAAAACTCTTCCTATCCTTTTAACTAGCTGATACTGAACAGTCTGAAGGGAGGGGAAAAAAAGGAAACAGACTCTTCTATAATAAAATATTTTGATTTAGTTTTGCAAAATGTCATTGATGGAAAATGCATATCATGAAAGTTTTGCTGATGAATGCACAGAAGCGAATTGTAGACAGCTGTGGGAATTCTAAGGATGCAGTTATCTACGTGTGTGTGTGTGTGTGTGTGCAGTGAATCAGAGGACAGTTGGTTTTAGGTTTTGTCTTTGATTTGCTTGGGATGTTCTATTCTAGGTTTTAGATATAGTCAAGACAAGTGTTCGTGCAGTTCTACAGCGTGTCTGGAAGGCTCCAGACGTTGAAAATTTACATTTGTACCGTCTTTTTAACCGAGTATTTAATCGCTTGCTCTGGAGCCATGGCCAAGGCCTGTGGAACTGTTTCTGTAATTCAGGGTAAGCCTATTACATTTATTATCTTAAACTGCCGTCATATCTTCACAGTTACAGTCTGGGCTGGCATTCTTTACTCCTCATTCTCATTCATGAGAATTTTGTACTACTTTGAACTAATTAAAAAAACAAAAACAAAACCTAGAGTATAATTACAAATCTAATAATCTACGGAAACCATTTCAATAATGGAAATAAACATTTAGGAGTCTGCTTCTAAATCTAATAATCTAAAGAAACAATCTAATTTTCAAAATAGCTGAACTCTAGCTCAGCTCCTTCAATTGGATGCTCTGCAGTTTTGAAGCCAGGCTGCTGTAAATGCTGTAAATAGCTTGGGCTTGCCGTCAAGATTCATCTTGGCAGATCTGTTTGATCCCAGGATTTACCAGGGAAGAATTCAGTGATGGGTCCAGCTGAAATCTTATGCCAAATACAAGGGCAGTTTTATGTTTTGCAAATAACGTGTTCAAATATTGTTTGAAAATACTCACTTCTTAGCATGCAAAAAAGGAATGATCCACACTAAAGCCAGAAGTAGCATTTTTGTCTAGGTTTCAAATAAAAGTTTCATAAGAGGAAAAAGCTCAGGACTTATTTTAAAAGTATCCTTTTAGAGAGTATCTTAGTAAAACTACATTCATGAAATACAAGGCCTTCATGTAAGGACAGATTTGGAGGAGAGGTTATAGACATAACATAATTTTTTTGCCCTAAACATCTTCATAAAATAAAACCACAAATGTATAAATACATCCTTTTCCATGCAATATATTTCATTTTCTCTGTAAGCATATACAGTGAAAAAAATGGCAATGTTTTTCATTAGCTACCATAAGATGAATTAGGAGACTCATTAAAAATGAACTACTGCAAAACCACATGATATGATATGATTATGGGTACTGCATGAAGAAGAGAATCAGCACACAGTTTTTCACATATAATCATTAATCGTGTGTAGAGAATGCATGTAAAGCATTTGTGGATTGTTTCACAACAAAATGGAATCATGTAATAAGAAAAAGATACATGGAGACCTGTGGGCATACTATAATGTTGCCAATTTTGGGGGGATTATTTTCTCATTGCTGAAAGCTTGTTCTTGTTAGTTGCTGTTCTAACTTAAACCATTAAGAGTTATCATGTTTATTCAGAGGTGGGTTGTGCAGTTCTCCGTTTAGGAGATCATTTCCTTAAGATGTGCTAGAGGTAGCTATTGGGAGTGTAGCACAATCCTAAATACGCGAAAGTTAAAACTAGGGTGAGAGTGAGGACTTTGTGCTTCCACTCTGAAACATTTCCTTTGCATAAACCACAACAACAACTGGAGGGCCCTTTCTTCGTGTCAGCAGGGGCGCATGAAGACTTGACTCCAACCTCCCATTTCCATTGCCACAAAATATTATAAATGGCTTCCCTTTTAATAACACTGATTATTTGAGTCTTACTTTATTGTGTCCTTTTTGCAAATCTTTCATTATACACAAAGCTTTTCCTGTCATTTTTTTCCCCTTCTGTAAGGATTGTTGGTTGCTCAAAACCTCAAAACAATTCTGCTGTTCAGCTGGCTCAGAAGAGCAGAAGAGTTCAATACAGAGCAAGATTTCCCAAGTAGCAGTAGCAGCTGATTCCAGAGTGGAGCTGAATTAGCTGACCAAGATCCATTTTTCTAAGAGAGTTTGCTAGGTGAAAGAGTCTAAAAATACTATGAAAATAGTGAATATCCAGAATATATAGAGGTTGGTCTATACATAATATACCTAATACAGAATCCAAAGGAACGTGAAGACACAAGTGCCCTGTCTTCAGTGACAATCATCATTCTCCCCATGCAACCCACAACAGAGAACTCGTGACAACACTGTGGCAGCAGAAAGGCCAACCTCTCATCACTTTTCCTTAGCATTATTTGGGCCGTTTTAAAAGCAACCTGCAATAAACAGTGGACCTATGTAGAATTTGGGAGACGTCAGGAAGAGGATTAAATGTGCTAATTAAGATACATGAATATATGAAAATATATTGAGGAGTATGGTATTTCAGCTATTAAGGAGGTACATATGTTGGGAGAGGAGAAGAAATAATAGCCTTCAGGTTTCCTCTTGCCAGTTAAGATCTCAGCTAGACATGCACTGTTTTAACAAAATAAATAAATACAACAACAACAACACAGACCTCTGAAATAATCTTGATGTGTATGGCTACATAAAGCTACATTTGTTTTACTATATGTTAAACAGTTAAAATTAATATTGGAAAATAGGTTGACTTAAAATGTTTTTTAAAAAGAACAATTATTTACAATATTACACAGTCAAGCATGGTAGTCTTTTCTGAATCTTGTGAGAACTTAAAAATTTTGTATTAACATTTGGAAATAAACAAATTAAGTTTTCCTAGGTAGCAGCATTCTGATTGCTGTTGCATGCAGTATAACAGAGTAAGAATTGAATCTGTATAGCACAGAGGAGATTGTTCAGGCACATTTATATGAAACCTCATTAAAATTCACATGTATATTTCCAGATGTCAATCTCTGTTATTATTAATATATTCCAAAGGTAATTGTATGCTCATAATTGGCTATAATTATAATGGGCTACATATACTTCACTGATAAAATCCCGTATAACTGTGGGAAGCTGATCTCAGATCCCAAAGTCCCAAACTCAAGGCACTTGTCAGGAGAGCTTCTATCAAGGGATGTTGGAGATTTATTGGATGAATTAGAATATAATTGTGTAACACTGTATACCTGGTGGAGAAATATTTAAACTTTATTCTGCTGCACATCACATCATCGAGCACAGAATGAACACAGGAGATTAATTTTGGTGTAAAAATATATTTGGAAGTTCCCATACAAGAAACAATAGTGAGGATAAAAATATATTAACAAAAGTAGTTCTTGTGGTGGTAGATTTATTCTGCTATTAGGTAAGAGTTTTGATGTGTCATAGACCATGTTTGTATTTACAGGGATAGTAAGTAATGAAGGAATGCCTTGATCACTTGAAAATTATTTGAACAGTGGAAAGGGGTGGAACCGAACAGTTTCAGCTAGAATATGCTATCTGGATTGAGGAGCAGGCTGAAAAATCAGTTAGATACACATGTAGTTCATGTGCATGAGCATATTTTAGTCTGTTCATAATTGTATCCTAGTGCAGCATAACTTTTAAATGTCACTTGGCCAAAATAGACCCTTTAAAGAATAAAATCCAAACCTGTGATGTGAAAGTTACTATGGAGCTCAGTGAAACAAGGCTAAGAATTCTGAATGTCATGTTGAATATGGACAACGGGTGCAATGAATTTTTCTCACTCTAAGTGATTCTTTCATAAACAGAATAAAAAACTGAAGCTTACAAATTATCTGTAGTACTTGGCAATATTTTGACCAAAAAGAAGTTTTCATAGGGACCATACTACCTTGGAAACATATACCATGATCTCTCAGAATTTTGTGGCAAACATAACACATATACAAACACAAGTGTTAAGGTTTATGCAAAGGATTACTTTCTTCTGTAATAAATATCCTTGTTCTCCATCAGTGTGGTAGGATTTTTGTTTTTTTGAAAGGGAACTGGCTTTTTAAGAAAACAGGCCCCCTTCTCTGCTTTTCCAAAAGGAAAACTTCTAGAGACACACCTTGCAGGTTGCACTCACTTGAAAAAGACCAACTCTGTTTCCTCTTCCAGACAACCAAGCCCCTATATCCAAGTGTCCATAAGTAGTATTTTAATGACTAAATTGAGGAACTCTTCACTAGTTCACTAGCTCATACAGAGAATGGAAACATCGAATGTTTCTATTCATCTTTTGCCTGAATGTATGAAACAAAGCACAACTTTTTGAACATTTCTCAACATGTACTTAGCACATATTAATCTTCCCATACATTCATTTAATATTCTCTCATCATTATAATGGACTTGCATTAAAACTCAAGTATTATTATTTCTGTATAGACATTTAGAAATAATTTATGTTATTAATATCTTTAGCATCACACCACATTTGCATACAAATTAAAAATAAACTTTTTAAAAATAATCACTGTTTTCTGCTATATCAGTTGTAAGGCACCAAAAATAATTCTATGACAGTTAATCTTTATGTGCTAAACCTAAACAATAGGCCTATAGAAGCTTTAGGGGACATACCACATGAAAAGAAAAAAAAAAAGAAAGGCTCGTGGACACTTCAGAGATGAAGGTTAACCTCTTAATTGGTGTTTTGTACTCCCGGTGCCTTCGGGTGTTTGTGTAAAACAGCATAGGCCATTCCTGTGCACAGGCGAGGTCAGGCTGCTTCTCTTGCTCCTCCAGTGTAAAATCTGCTCGAAGCCACGAGCTCTTGCGTGCCGCTTGTGAGAGCGAGGGGGTCACGCGTGTTTCGTGCCAACAGGAGCTCCTGGGAAACCGTGTTCAGCAGAAGCTCGGAGGTGGTGACGGCCGCGCAGCTGCAGTGCTGCCGGCGCGTGGTGCAGCTCTGCAAGCAGTGCCTGCTCGTGGTCTACAAGCACGCGGCCGAGTCGCGCAGCGCCCTGCCGGGAGCCGGCCCCAGGTGCGAGGACACGAGGTAGGCGCTGCAGCGTTCTCCGGCCTCTGTCTGACAGGGCACTGGCACGGATTACAGCCGGCACTGCTGGGACACCGGGAAGGGCCTGCAGAGCAGCTGGGTATATGCTAGAAAAAAAAGAAGAAAAAATCAAAACCCAAAGAACAAATAGTATTTCCCTCGATTCTGAGTTTCTGCCATTCTAATCTCTTGCTCATTCATGAGATACTACTACCAGGAGGCTTGTTATACATATTTTGTGTAAAGCTACACTTAATAAATTCTTGCTTGCTGATTACCCAAGAAGTCACAGCACAAAGGGCGTTCTGTCTTTAAGTGAACTGAAAATTTCCTTTCTTCGCCTTCTCAGATCCCTCAAAGTCACTGATTCCTGATTTGCATTCCTAGAGGTATCCTAGCATGTATTATACTTCGGGCTTCACATTCGCAATTGGATCCTGTAGGGGCACAGCTCCAGCCAAGGGTCAGGTAAGTGCCATCTGATTTACTGGATTGCACAGTTTTGCAAAGTTGATTTCCAAAACCCGATGATTTTAAAATTTTATTGTTTCATCTCACAGAGGACAAATATATTTTAAAACCTTGCAAAACAGCATCATATAGTAAAAAAATTATTTGGCACTTACCTGGTTCTCCACTGGCTGGTTTAGCTTCCCAACTGAATACAACCTGAATTCCAATATTGTCAGTATAGAGATTACTGAAAATGCTCTAAGTGCAAGAGTCAGTGATCTGCAATTTAAGAATCTTAGATGGAGAATTAAATATATGTTTCAAGTTATGTAGGTTACGGATTCTATTCATATTGGCCATTTGGAATATTATGTATTAAAAAACATGAATTGCTTATATAAAATATCTTACAGGCATTATTTCATGCAAGGACTTTATGAGTTAAGAATATTGTATAAAAAGCAAACCTTTGATATATTATCTGTTAAACAGATACGTCTTATTTGCTTATTTGGTATATCTTGGTCTAGTTACTTGATATACCAAACTCATTTGTTAGTCATATGAAACTTAAGGTGCTCTAACAAATGACTAGAAACATTTTATTTGGTCACAGCAAAAGTATAAGTATCTTAGCTACAAAACAAATCATGTTCAATATTAATATCTGCTGAACTATAGCAAGAGTATGGTAAAAACATCGGGATTAGTTAAGACTGGAAAATCTTCAAGCTTGAAGTTTTTATTGCTCCTACTGTTAATATTGCAGATATTTTTTCATCACAGACTACCACAAACTATTGAAAGTGATCAGGTTACTCCGATGTCCTGCAGCCAGCAATCTTGCATTCGCAAAGTAGCACTTTTTCATTTCCAATTTCTGTGTTTCTTTTGATGCCAAATGGATGTTTATTCATGAATTTGAAAGGCTAGAAGGATCAGTGCCTTAAATATCTGTAGGTCTTCAGCAATCAAGTTGTCATGACAACTATGATTGATTAAAAGTTTGTCCTCATATTAATCTCCACGAATGTTATACCTATCGCGTGGATACAGCAATACATTAGGTCCATTATGCCCCACAGTATGTAAGATTATGAAGTGTTTTTCTAGAAATGAGAGAATCACAGTACCATTTTGCTTTTCATCAAAGTTTCTGGTTTTTAAATTATCAAGGAGGTTGCATATAAGGATCTCAACTATTAATAAGAGTTCTTGCCCGAAAGTAAAAATTGTGTGAAGTGCAAGAAGACAGCAAGACTTTAAAAAAAAATCTAATTTGTAAAACTTCCATAGTTTTTTGAGCAGAAAAATATTTTTGAGCTTTGTTTTTACGACTAAAGCTTTTTTAAACCTGTAAATGGATACCTCTTTAGATCGAAAAATCTATTTGTGCAGAAAGAGAGAGAGAGAGAGGCGTAATGAAAATAAAGCCAGAAGTTTATTGTGGCTAGTAATCTATTTTCAAATTAGTTGTCAATTTCATCTCCTAATTTTAAATCCAGTGAATGTGATAGAGAAAATGAATAGGGGTATTAATGTTAATGAGTAATTTTTTTCCTTAAAAAATTTAAAATGTAAATAAAAATAACAATACCAAATATCAAATACCAAAATCTATTAAAAATAATAGCTAAAAACCAGACTATATAGACTGACCTTTCACATTTTGATAAATTCACCTGTATTACAAAATACAAGATACATTGCAAATACAGTCTACCCCTAGCTCCTTACAGCTTGCTAGATAATCTTATGCACAGCCTATTCTCTGAGAAGCATGAGGACTTTTTAGTGTATTGTCAAGCAAATACAGGACTTATGACATGTGGAATTTTCAAGCCCTAGCTCACCACTAACTCATACAAAGTAAGACTTCTTTGGTAAATTGCTTTAGAAAAAATTAAATGGTGCATGACCAGCATCTGATAATAAAAGCTTTTCTCAATGCTTAAACAAACCAAATATGTATACTTTCAATGTACACATTGTTTCCTGTTAAGAGTTGTGATGTTGCTCCTGTTGGTGTGATTAGTAGGATTAGTTTTTAACTTATTTGTGATTAATCAATGTGATTCACTAGATTGATGCAACAGTTTTTAAGCAATAATTTATACAATGTGTGCACTGTGTGTGCAGTGTTCTAACACTGCATATCATTCCTGATGAATTTCTGCTTTAATATGGATGTTATTTTTGCACATTTACTGTGCTCATCTAATGACTTTTGTAATTAACTATTAGGAAATGATAGCACAAAATAGAATTAAGAAGGAATATTGTATATATTATGAATTAATGTTTGTAGTGTTATATAAAGTACAGGCTACATTGCTGCCTGCTTTTAAAAAAGCACCTACTCACCGATGTGACTTACTAGGTCACAGCATCCTTGTTTTCTGTGTTATCTAGAGTGGTGATGATGGCATCTCTGTGTTTAGGGTATCAGAGCTGGAAACTGAAGGTGTTCTTTTTTTTTCTCCCCATGTGACTGTTTTCAACTCATTTTTTATAAGCTAGTTAACATCAGTTGTAGTTTTTATATGGTTTAAAAATGGAAAATATTACTACAATAGCATTTTAACTCAGTGAGTGATATATAATTTTGGTTGCAGTGTTACACAGGGTGATACTACTTTATTTACTTGCTTGTCTTAAAAATAAAGAGCTGGCAAGATTAGAGCCAGCAAGGTCTTAGAGCATCCTGTAACTTTGCTGAGGCTATTCCTGAGCCAAGGATCTGTTTCCCAAGTTAGCTAATGCCTCATGCCCTGTACATTATAGAAATGATATTTAATATGCATAACATCTTGCATAAAAATTACAAGGTATGGCACATGAAAACTATTTCTTTTGCTTTTGAATGTACTTTGCCTGTAAATTATGCTGTATTTTTCATATCATTTCTAGGTATTTCTTGCCAGGACCTTCACCGTTCTTCATGAAGTCATCCTCATCCAACTTCAGCTGCAGTTCATCTGGGATGCCTCGTCCTAACATTTTGTTTACACACAGATATAGTCACTTGTGAAACAAAAGGAGAATTGCTATTCCTTGTAAATAACGGCACTCCGTTTTTTTTTTCAAACTGCAGTTTGTGATGGAGCAGAACATAAGTATTGTTATATTTACTACCATATTATGACAACATTTAGCTGAAAACCTATTGCAAAAGCCTAGTCTTTCTGGAAACATAATAAACCATGTTTAAGTTGTTTACACTCATATGTGAATGTGTAGATCTTGCTAAGTTTATAAGGAATTCCTTCCTACTAGAAATGTTATTTTTGCTGCAGAATATATAAAATGGAATTGATCTTGAAGATCCTATTACAGTGCTACATTATTTTATAAGTAGAATACTTTGACTTAAATATTTATTGTAAAATATACTATTTATTGTCTCACATGTCGATCCTTTAACAAGATAGATGATTAAAAAGCTATAGTAGATCAGCCGAACAGTAATAGTCATTGAATGTAGTCTGCTCTTTTCTAGGACACAGACACAAAAAACCAAACTCTACAAGCTAGATCTAAAGCAGACGTTTTATTTCTCCTCTGAAAATACAAGATCTATTTATTCATGCTATCCTGTGTAACAGGATATGTATCATGTATTCTTTAAGGAGATGGTATAATATCTTTTAGTTAGGGTCAAACCAATCCAGTAGGCAAATATTAAAAAAAATCAGTTCTGGCACTCAGTTTCTAATTGGATTCTTGTAATAAAACAGAACCCAGTGTTAGTTACCAGACTCTCCTTCACATTACCTATGTCTTGTGCCTTTAAGTTTCCTTTGGGAGCAAGCAGGAATCTGCAAGTCATGCCAGCATGTGTAGCGCATAGTTTTTCTGTTCTACTGCACAAGTGGTACAGCAGACAATTTTAGAAATTACTGCAGCTATCATATATTATTGAACCTTAAACTAATTGGTTTGATGTAGTTTTTAGCATACAATCCATTATGTGCTGTGGAATGTGTCCTGGAAAGGACACCATTTTCTAGCTTTGCAGACTCCTCTAAATGCTGGAAATGAAATTCGTTAGGAAGCTCTTGTTCAGATTCAGCTTTGGGGCTTGGCTGAAGGGGCAATAAGAAACTGACATAAACCAGAGCAGGAACCCAGTAGCAACAGGATTTGTGACTGCAAAATCTTTTTCAGGTGTGTTGCCATGTGCACCCATTCATCCCATTCAGCATTGTGTCACATGGGCCTTACTCATTATATAAATAATTATTAAGTATTCTTTTAATTTAGACTTTAAAATGAATTAGGTTTTCTAACAGAGTAAAGAATAGTTACTATTTACCAAAGACCTGTTTACTTTTCAATAACGTGACCTTGAAATTTTGTTTGGAAGTTATTGGTGCATTTCAGGTAATTAAAAAAAATATATTTAGGAGTTAATTGTCCTCAGGAGTGAGTATATGTTAAAGGTTTTTGATATCCAGAGATTTAAGACAAATCGAGACTGAAGTTGTCTGAAATGTAATTTTTTAAATCATAGTCATATATCAAACTGGGAACTTTGGTGAGATTTTGATGCCTGTGCTTTAGTACCCCAACTCTGGAATTGCAGGATGAATCATAGCATGACTATTTGTAAACAACAAAAACAACAACAACAACAAACCCTCTGCGATTAACCAGGTATCAGCAATCTTCTGTTCCAGTTAAAACTTTTCCATTTTCAAGATAGTAGTAATTTTGTAACATAGTATGTTCACACCAGTGCACTTTGTACATCCCTTTTGGTCCATACACTGACTACTGCTAATCACAGTATGCTTTACCAGTAAGACCTAATAAAATCTAAAAATCTGAAGTCTCCCTGGGAGTGCTGTCTGCTGTGTGCTCTGCTGCTGGCCGCAGGGAGAAGAGCAGCGTGCGGCTCAGCCCGCCGACCTGCCCTGGCCTCGCGCTGCTGCGCACACCCGCGTGCCTCCCGCCTGCCTCGGGACCGGCGCTGCCGTGGCTCGGCCTGCACGGCACGTTCTGCCGGCAGAAAGAGGGCTGCTAAGTATAGCTATCCGCTATAGAGAGAGCTGGCGGGAAAAATCTCATGTATTTAGCCCGTACAGCAGTGCTCCAGATGGCTGGCTTGAGTTCTCAAAAAACGGTTGCCTCATGTATGCCACAAGCACGTTTGAGCTCCTGATGAGCCTTCCTGGAGCAGCACTGCCCTCTAATAACGCAAAAGTAAAGGTGGTCCCACCGCCTGCCCCTGCCTGTGCTCCCCGCAGGTCTCCTCACAGGTGTCCCCGCGAGCGCGGCCGTTCCCCCCTCAGCACCCGCAGCTGCGCCCAGCGGGGCCTGGGCCTCGCAGGGACGAGCCCTGCTGTGGGGCCGTGGCACCAACGCTGGGGTGTCGCACACACCGCGCGACAGGACACAACGTGACACGACACGGCAACATACTGAGGTGAGTCTTGGCGAGGTTAGAGCATTGTGCTCAGGCACACTGCTCAGCTCCCTCACCAGGTTTACTTAATAACTTAATCTGTAGCAACCTGATGGTAGTTGGGTTAAAACACGCCCTTTAGCAGCTCCTCTTTGCTCTTCCTGCTCTCCTGCCTCGCTGTGGTAGCTGCGGCTCACCCTGTGCTATCGTGCTGCTGCCGGTGGGTGAGGAGAGCGCCCTGCTTGCTGGGCTGGCGCTGGTCCAGGTAAGGAGGGCTCCTTAGATGAAGGATGAAAGATGAACTGGATAAGGGTGCCCGTTTGGTGGGCAAGGACTGTGGAGTAATGGTCCATCTTGCAGGGAATGTCTTGGCCTCATAATAGAAAAATTATAGTCTGCAGTAGTTGGTTTGCTGTGCAAGGAAATAAACTCATAGATTGGGCTCTAAAAGTACATTGGAGTGATTCCTTAGTTGGGTTATGAGATCTAGAATAAACTCAAATATGCAAGCACGTAGTTTACAATTTTCTATGGGTTTTCAAGGGTAAGGCTTGAATTATACTGACAGTTGTGTAACATCTAAATTAGATGTTAGCAAGGTTTAACAAACTTGTGATGCTAAAATATTAGTGCGCATGTGGTGTTGAAGCAGTTAACTTGAAGCTGTTGCGCTTATTCCCATTTTTGGCAGAAGTTTTTTTTTTTTTTTTTTTTTAATTGTATACTTACTGGAAAATCTCGCACTTCAGTATTTGCTAAAAAGCATTTGTAATATTTTGTGTGTGTGGTAGAACGCTGCGTGTCAGCTGCTGTTGTGCGTTCGTGTTCCTTGTTCTCGGCAGCCCCCTCTGTGCAGCTCCTACCTCCGGTTAACTGGGAGAGCCTTTGGGAGGTGCAAGTAGAATAGTCGCTGCCCCGAGGACTCCCAGGGAGCTCATAAAGGAGTCTGGTAATTCTGCCATTCACTTCCTTGGGGTCAGAGGCAAGTTTCACTTGTAAGGACCCAAGATTGATACATTCTGGTGTATGAGACTGATGGTATTTTGTGCATTTCTTTGTTTTTCTTTTTTTCTTTTAAAACAAATGACACTTACTAAGTGAGGAGATCTCACTAGCCTTAAAACTCCCCTTGTTTCACAAAACATGGTAACACTTGTGAAACAGGACAGCTAAAACGGCTGTGCCCGGCCTTTCAGCACCCTCTGAACGGCTCTGCCTGGTCTCGGCAGAAAAAAGCAAAATGGAGCTTTGCTCTTGCCTGAAATGGGGCCTGGCACCGACCCCTGAGCACTGCCCCGTGCTCCTGGCCCGAGGCTGGCAGCCCCCGCGAGGGTGGGCGAGCGCCAGGCGGTGCCTCGCGCCGCCCTTGGGCACTCGCGGCTCCGAGAGGGCAGGTTCTGCGGAGCGTGGCCGGGCAGCCTGCGCCCCAGCGCTCGGGGCTGCGGGCAGGGCGGGTGCCGCGGTGTGAGGCAGGGTGGAGTCGGGATGCTCAGTGGGAAGATCCATCACTTTGCACTTTAGGTTTTCCTTGGAGATATTGTTGGAGATATTATTGTGGAGATAATGTACTCAGTCACAGTAGAACCAAAGACTATTTCATCTAATGCTGTATATGACTCTTAATGGGACAGCGCTGTGTCACCAGAGTGTCTATAACATCATACCCACTCACTTGTTTCTGCCGCAATTCCCCACAAGTCATTGTCTCTTTTAAAAAATTTATCTTAGCTGGGCATGGGAGGGCCTGTATATCCTAAATATGAGCCTTCCTAAGCAAGGCTCATATTCCCCACCCCTCTCCCCTAAGCAAGAGGGAGAGAGGTGGGGAAAATACCAGGGCAAGAAATATCAGGTGGTGAAAAATCAGGACATATCTGTATCACATGTGCACAGATTCTTGATGGGACTGTGGGTATCGAAGTGGCATCTTCAGCAACAGCATCCCCAGCTCCCATACCCATTTCAAAAGCGTTGGATGTTCTCAGCTTTCACTGAACCCTGTTCCCTACAGCTCTGGAGCTACCTGCTCTGCTAGAGGTTTCTTGTGTGCAGGATACAGCTGCAGCTTTTGCTCATGCTCATTATTATTATTTTTAAATAGCTGTTATGCGCTATCCCTTACAAATGCAGCAAACTAGACCAGCAACTAAGCATTGCTAATAAGAAGTAGGATGAATTGTCCTGTGCAGAGAGTTGTGCTTTCTCTGCTGCTTGAATTAGTAGGTGCCAGCGTCCATTGCAGACCTGTTTAGTAATAGCCTGTACTGATAAATGGCCAGCAATCTTGGGAACACGTCATGTTGGTGAGTTTGACTTTCTTCCAGCACCAGCTACCTTTCAGCTATGTTTCTGTTAGGTATTTGGACGCAGTCTGCTAAGGACAAGAACTGGGAATACAGTGTTTTATTTCCTCTTGTAAGGGTTGTGCTGTTAGTGGGAGTGAATTAAGTTCTTATGACACTTAACATATTTTCTACCAGCATCGGTAAGCCAGGCCTGACAGCATTTTTTTTAAATCTTTCTTAACTTATTTAATTTGTGAGAAGGCTTAAAAGAGAAAATAATAATAAAAATAGAGAAGAAAAAGAAGCAATGACAGGAGATGAACACATATTCTGAGACAACTGTGGGCCAAGGTAGACACTCCACACTTGGCACATGATACAGTTTAGTTTGCTAAACCTAACCAATTAGTTTTAGAAAATTATGCTGATTATTCTTACAAGTCTTTCCACAAATTAAATAATTCTTCCCACAAATTTCTCTCTTATATTAACAAATCTGTCCTGGGGGGGGAAAAAGTTTCATCTGAGCTATTAATTTCCAGTGCTATTCGAGTGTTCAGACTGTTCCCTTATATTTTATTATTTACATTTGAATGCAGATGTTATTACAGCAAATATGCTTGACGTGTCCGAGCAATGTGCAGTGAGTGTACTTGGTAGCATCCCTACAAGGTGCATACATGGTGTGCATGCACAGGAATCTTCTTTCAGATACCCGTATTGCTGGTGATGATAGAAAACCTCTATAGCATTATAGAGCTGATGTGATCAAATGGCTGCTCTGATTTTTGGAACACCCATGTGTGGAAGAAG